AGAATCGTCCGAAGGCTAGACTGCGCTCTTCAATTTGACGACTTCTTCCAACTGGCGCGGACGACAAATCTCCGAGGGCACCCATAAAAATTGAAGACGAAACATGTCAGACTCGATTTGCGGGCTAAATTCTTCTCTCACCGGCTGGTTGAGGGATGGAACAAATTGTCATACTCCGTTGTCTTAGCGGAAAACGTCGAGAACTTCGAAAGAAGACTAGACAAACTTATGCTTGATGGTCAAACATTTACATGATATCAATGACTGGTATAACTGCTATGTAAATATCTGCATGTTTTTTTCATACGTCTGTCTGTCAATAGGGTTTTCCAAGGCTCTGCCTCTATCCCTCATATATACTGAATTATACTGAATGACGGAATACGTTAGCGACGGATTTGCCAGGGTTCAAATCACTGAGGGCAAGTGATTCTCATTGCCTGTCGCGCGCTTGACGCATCCTTGAGTCCATTTCAAAAATCTCTGTGATTTAAAAATGAACTGGTAAGGAACTAGTGGATGAGTCACGCAGCTGTCGTCTCAACCTTTTCAGTCGGTTGTGAAGGAAATGAGAAACAAGGGAATCTGAAGAATTAGGCTTGAGATATCTACGCGGCACAAACTCTAGGATGTCCTTGGAAACAGTGGACATGACGTCACGAAGAATGGTTGCATCGCTACAAGAGAGGAAGCCACACCAATCCAGAGATCTAATACAGTTATTTATTAAGTCGTCATCTACGCAATCGTAGTTCAGGTAAGTCCGAACGGCGCTAATCTTATTTTAAAAGGCAAGCGGTAAGCAAAAATGAATTAATACGTGGTCACTGTCAAAGAAGTCCTTTTTAAAGCAACAGAAAGAGGAACAATGTCATAGGTAAAAATTAGATCTAAAATGTGATTATCTCTTGTTGGAGAGCGCACCAGTTGGGATAAGTTAGAAAAATTGACAATATCTTGAAAGGGCTAGAATATGGGTGGGCAGCTATTGGAAACCCAGTCTATTTCAGGAAGGTTTAAATCCCCAGTGATTATTTTAACATTGAAAGCAGCTTCCGAAATTAATTTAAAGATTTCACAGAGTTGTGAATCATCACTGGCTAAAGAATTTGGGAAATTGCAGATACAGCCAATAACTGCCTTTCTTTGTGGCGAAAGAAGAACAGATACAAAGCAGAAGTTTCCCGTGAATGAGGAAACATCCAAGTAATAGGGAGAGTGCTTTAGGTAGGATTTAAGATAGAGACGACATTCGCCCCCCACGCCTAGTCGTGCGGTCTTCACGGTAAAAATCGAAGTCATCTATGAGAAGGGCAGAGTCAGGAATTAGAGAATGTGTCCAAGATTCTGTTACACATATAATATCAGGCGTCATTTCCAGAGCAATGGCTCTGATTAGGGCCATCTTGTTTATAACAAACCTGGCATTCAATAATATAATATCTAATGTGTTTCGAACGGCAATGCTATTTTCGACGGTATTTAAAAATATTTGGAGGCGGATATGTAAGCTGTGAATTAATGACACTTGGAGAATATGTCCCAGTTAGTCTAGAGTTATTGACGTAAGAGAATTCAGCAAGAGAAGGTTGAGTATGAGACCTAAATGAGATGGGGATATAATTTTTGAGCATTGGAATGCTAGGGCAGTTAGAACAGGGATAGGCTAGTTGGTAGTTTATCGTGGAAGAGGAGGAGTAGGAGGGAGTCTAGAAGGAAAGTAGAGGCAGGTGGGGAGGGAAGACAGCTATAATAATAAAAGGGTGGGAAACCAGGTCTAGATTGGGAGTCAAAGGAGGTAGGTTGACGTACCTGAGAGCAATGGGCCTTAAGATTTGGGAAGCCTGAACTAGGTTGGGGCATAAATGATTTAGGGCAATTCATGTATGAATTATTTGCTGGATATATAGTAGGGCTTTGATAAGTAACCGGTACGCAGGACAGAGAATTATTCGGGGATATAATTGGAGCTGCGGGGTTTGTAGACGTGCTGGGCTGAACAGACTTATTAGATCTAAGAGAAGGCGTCTTACCCCGAAATGAAACTGTACTACCTTTCTTTTGGGTCGGAGTCTGACTCAGTTTTGGAGTCCCACCGTTCTGATGTCAAGCCAAGGGTGAATTAACTGTAGAGCTAGCAGCACCCAGCTGAACAGGGGAAGTTATCGGTCTAGCTGATGTAGACAGATTCTCATGTGTTCCAGCTGGGCTATCCGGTCGATACGAAACGACAAATGGGGCTGCTGCTGCTGCTGCTGCTGCTGCTGCTGCTGCTGCTGCTGCTGCTGCTGCTGCTGCTGCTGCTGCTGCTGCTGCTGCTGCTGCTGCTGCTGCTGCTGCTGCTGCTGCTGCTGCAAGTTTAGGGGCAGGCAAATGCGTCAAGTGGCTTGAGTGAGATGGAGACGTAAAAGAAAGAGGAAGGAGGGAGTCAGATTTCGCAGGAGTAGGACAAGCTGAATCCTTACGGCAACTTCTATTATGAGCGAGTTTGTGAGCATTAGACTGAGAAACAGTGGCTTTACGTGAGAATAGAGACCCGATTCCACGCTCCATAGGAGTAAGATTACGACAAAGGAAAAATTTTGCCTTCTCTATGTACGCAGTGACACGCTCTCGATGAGTAAATATTGTGTCAACCTCGATTGAAGAAAACAATTTGACTAAGATGGGTGGATTTGTACTACGGGAGGACAAGCGTTTGGCATCAGCTATTTTATAGTTGAAACCACATGAATACAGGAAACTGGTGGCAACATCAATTGGCCGAGCAGACCGAGGAACATTTTTTAGCAGGAAGTTGTAAGAACGCTTCTGTCTATCGCTAGATTCACTGGCGATCAGGTGAACAAGTGAGTCGAAACGCCTACATTCTTCAGAAGGAATATCGGAGATGTTCCCGTCGAATAAATGTCCAAGAATTGTCAGCAAAGAGCCAAACTTTAGCATAAAGTCATTGCAGTGGTCAAGTGCAGACAGATTAAGCTGCCGACCAATTACAACGGGTGACGACTGACTAGTAATATCATCTGACTTAGATTTAGGTAAATCTTCTGACTTACGTTTAGTTAGGCCATGTTTACTAACAAGAGCCGGGAGCTTACGTCGACCAGTGACTTTTGGTCTCATCTTGTCTCGAGGCAATTTGTGATTAAGAAAACTTCTGGCAGACAAGTTGACTGAATTTCAGCTAGGGGCGAACGATGTAAAAATAAATTTCAACAGTTAGAGAGAAGTCGGATGCACAAAATGAGAATTGCAAAGTGCGATTAGTGAACAACGGGAATAGACTAGCAAAACTCCAAAGGAGATGGCAGCAGGCAGTTCTTAGAGAAAAGGCCTGTATTTAAGGAAATTCAAACAAAAAACAGGTACTAAAATCGTTAGGTCTCACAGAAAAACCACTTAAAATAATATCCTCCACTTATCTTCAAATTTAAAACCAGCGGCTTGACCTTGACCTTGAGTCCTTGACCTTGATGTCCTGGGGTCTGTACACCATCGCAATATGGACGTCCGGTTGGTTTGGCACTTTCAATTTACAATTAATTACTGCTCAGTCAGTGTTCCTTTTTGCTTAGGACCCATCTGTGACGTAGCTATTGCCATTCCGTATGAACAGTGCGGTTCCCCACCTATATGTCAACTTCGATCTATGGAAACAAACTGAAGTCTGCCCAGCTGCGCTTGCTATCTACTCATTTAACCATGCGTCAGATAGGGCTATAAAGCCAGGTTACAATGCTACTCAAATGAACCAAGTACTGTTTTTATAGTGAATATTTTTTGTTTGTGTACAGTTATTTCTAACGAGCTGAATGTAATCAATAGGGTTTTCAAAGGCTTTGCCTATTATCCTTACCAAATAAACTGAAACTGAAAACAAATGGACCACGGTCAGTTTCATTTCATCCATCTAGTTGCAAAGACTTTGTGCCTTTTTGCGCATTATGATCATATTTTGGTCCTTTCGGTCCCTGGATACTGCTTATTGGTTCTTGCACCTGACAATTATTGTTCTACGCTTTGCAAGACACATCCAGTTCACTGTCTGTCTTTAGATTTACAAGCAATAGATGGAACTAATGACTGGCGTGTTAACGGTCAATTTCACCGGATGATTCCATGGAAACTTGCGTTCCGTTTTTATGATTTATTTGTCTACAACGTTCAGATTTTTCTCCCAGCACTCCGACGCCCCTTTAACTCTGCTGTCAGTGTTCTCCTTTTCGTTCGATCGATAGGAGAGTAGTCTGACTGAAAAAACTCTCCACAATTGTTTCATAGTCTAGATCTGCGAGGTAAGACTAGATCTGTCTGCTGCTTGCTTCCCAAGACGACTTTCAATGGTCTTGGTCGCATCTCCTCTGTAGTGCCTGTAAATACAAGCTAAAAACGGAAGATCTTTTGCATTTCAACCACTTCACCGCCTTCCTCAGTATCATTTAGTAAATTTTGGGGTTTGCCAGTGGCCTCTTGGACTCCCTGGACCCCTAGACAAAGCGATCCCTCAGGAAAAACTTGTCTCAGTATCTTGCTTTCTTCTGTTCACGGTAAAAGACATGTGATTAAGCACTCCAGAACCCACCTCATCACTACACTAGCCCCGCCTGACCATGCATAACACATGACCTTGTCTCACTACACGTGGCACCCGGACAGATTATGCATCGCTTAGACCAGTGGTAAGCGCGTTCCCTGACTCAACCCGGTGCTTGAACAAGTCGTCTGTAGCACGCGTAGACAGGCTGTTGTGGTTTTGTCAGACACTGAGGAACTCATTCCTTATCATGGTAAATCTGACGCGCTTTGAAACAATCAAGAATGCGTCAAAGGTCATGGCTTAGAAGGCTGCCAGCTGACTGTATGTTTCGGTCCTCCTGGTCAGCACCGTGTGTTTACATGGAGTAACTGGCTCAAGAATGGGAGATTAAGCTCATTGGGTCTTTAGAGTGGCCACTATGGGATGTGTTGGGGTGTAGGGGTGTCAGCGGTGGGTTCACGTGAAGGTCGTAGTGGTCGCTCACTTGCTTGCAGGTGAGACTACGCCTAGCGTCCACTTGCTGGCACTCAACTCTCACCTGTGGCTCCACGTAGCTGGGCTCTGCTCAGCGGTCACACCCCGGTCAACCGTCTCGACCGGCGGGCTAAACCAGGTGAGGGCGGTTACTCCCTGTGCGCGTTGTGCCGCGTGCACAGGTGACTGCGGACTCCGTGGACGGTTGGTCGGATGGAACACCGCGTCGGCGCCGTCGTGACGATGCTCTGTCTGACACACCGCTGGTCAGCCGGTTGGTGGTGGAACGTCGCATCGACATCGTCTAGAGGAGGCTCCGCCTCGTACGCCGTTGATCAGCCGGTGGGATGGATCTCCGAATTGGCACCGTCGACACGCGCCCATCTGGTGCACCGTAGGAGACCGCAGGCTTGCGGCAATGCCGTAAGCCATTGGCAAATTCGAGTCGTTCTTCCACTGCCAAAAAAACTCGTGGCCCACAGTGGAGTTCGGCCGCGCCGGCACATCAAGCAGCCCCTATTCAGGGGTCAGGGCACTGCTTCCTTCGGGGGGGCCTGGAAAAGCTGGCCTAAAAATTGCTGGGAAACCACGTCGTCTGCTGGCGCACCGTGGTCGCAGACGCAAAACTCACGGTCGAAACAATCAAACTCGAATCAACAACAGCAACAACAACAACAACAACAACCATACTCATTCTCCTCATCCTACCTCTTCTACCTCTACCTCCGTCTATTCTTCTGCCTATTCTTCTCCTTCGTCATCTTCTTCTCCACCTCCTTCCCATCGCCCCACTCGTCTTCCCCAGACTGACAGGGTGAGCCCGCTCACTCTGGCAGCCTGGAATGTTCGTTCCCTTTTGGACAATCCGAGGAGCAACCGACCGGAACGGAGGACGGCGCTAGTGGCACGTGAACTGGCGCGCTACAAGGTGGACATCGCCGCACTCAGCGAGACCCGGTTCTCCGAACAAGGCCAACTGGAGGAGGTGGGTGCCGGTTATACCTTCTTCTGGAGTGGCCGACCCAGGGCAGAGCGACGAGACGCGGGCGTCACCTTCGCCATCCGGACCGACATCATGGGACGACTGCCCTGTTTGCCGCAGGGCATCAACGATCGCCTGATGAGCCTCCGCCTGCCTCTCTGGGGAGGCAAATTCGCCACCATCATCAGCGCCTACGCTCCGACGATGACCAACCCGACGCCGTCAGAGACAAATTCTACGAGGACCTGCACGCTCTCTTGGCGACTGTGTCGAAGGCGGACAAGTTGATTGTCCTTGGTGACTTCAACGCCCGCGTCGGCACAGACCATACTGCCTGGAGGGGAGTGCTGGGTCCCCACGGTCTCCGCGGCTCCAACGACAACGGCCTGCTTCTCCTCCGCACCTGCGCAGAACACCGCCTCACCCTGACGAATACCTTCTTCTGTCTGCCGGTGCGAGAGAAGGCCACCTCGAGGCATCCTCGGTCGCGTCAGTGGCACCTGCTGGACTATGTCCTCGTCCGGAGGCGAGATCAGTGGGACGTGCTGGTGACGAAGGCGATCGCGGGTGCTGACGGGTGGACCGACCATCGCCTCGTCAACTCGAAGATGCGTATTCGCCTACAGCCTCGCAGGAGACCACAAGGTAAGCGACCCCCAGGTAAGCTGAATGTTGCTTTGTTGTCTTTGCCTGCTCATTGTCTCCATTTCAGCAATGAGCTAGCTCAACGGCTAGACAACCTTCCTATTGCTGCCGCCGCCGACGAAACCACCGCCGCTGCCGAGACCGCCTCCGTGGAGAACCGCTGGTGTCAACTGCGTGACACAGTCCAGTCGACGGCGCTCGCCGTCCTCGGTCGCGCTCCCAGCCAACACCAGGACTGGTTCGACGACAACGACGCTGCCATCAGAAATCTGCTTGCCGAGAAGAACCGCCTACACAAAGCCTACGTAGAGCACCCAACTGAGGGCAACAAAGCTGCCTTCTACCGCAGTCGCCGACAGCTTCAGCAACGACTGCGCGAGAAGTAGGACGCCTGGACTGCTCGCAAAGCTGAGGAGATCCAAGGCTACGCGGACCGCAACGAATGGAAGAACTTATTCTCCGCGATCAAAGCTGTCTACGGTCCGCCGACGAAGGGCACTGCTCCTCTCCTCAGCGCCGACGGCAGCACTCTCCTGACTGAGAAGACGCAAATCCTACAGCGATGGGCCGAGCACTTCCGAGGCGTCCTCAACCGCCCTTCCGTCATCTCCGACGCAGCCATTGCCCGCTTGCCGCAAGTGGAGACCAACGCGGACCTCGACCTCCCGCCATCTCTCCAGTAAACGATCAGGGCTGTGCAGCAGCTCTCCAGCGGGAAAGCACCCGGATCGGACGCAATCCCTGCCGAGGTCTACAAGCACGGAGGTCCCCTACTGATGGATCACCTGACTGCGCTCTTCCAGGAGATGTGGCGTCAAGGTGAAGTCCCGCAAGATTTCAAGGACGTAACTATCGTGCACCTATACAAGCGCAAAGGGAATCGCCAAGTCTGCGACAACCACCGCGGCATCTCCCTACTGAACATCGCCGGGAAGATCTTCGCTCGCATCCTGCTCAACCGCCTCAATAACCATCTGGAACAGGGCCTTCTGCCGAAAAGCCAATGCGGCTTCCGTCGTCATCGTGGGACCACGGATATGATCTTCGCCGCCCGCCAACTTCAGGAGAAGTGCCAGAAGATGCGGACCCACCTGTACTCTACCTTCGTGGACCTGACGAAAGCCTTCGACACGGTGAATCGTGAAGGACTGTGGAAGATCATGCAGAAATTCGGCTGTCCGGAGCGATTCACTCAGATGGTGCGTCAGCTGCACGACGGTATGATGGCGGGAGTCACGGACAACGGAGCTGTCTCAGAGGCATTCGCAGTGACCAACGGAGTGAAGCAGGGCTGTGCGCTGGCACCTACCCTCTTCAGTCTCATGTTCTCTGCCATGCTGATGGACGCCTACCTCGACGGACGCCCTGGAATCCGCATCGCCTATAGAACGGACGGTCATCTCCTGAATCAACGGCGCATGAACTTCCAATCGCGTGTATCCACAGCCACCGTGCACGAACTCCTCTTCGCCGACGACTGCGCCCTGAACACCACCTCAGAAGTGGAGATGCAACGGAGCATGAACCTATTCTCCGCTGCCTGTGAGAACTTTGGGCTGGTTATCAACACGCAGAAGACGGTGGTGATGCATCAGCCGCCTCCTAGCTCAGCCACAGCCCCCAGCGCGCCGCAAATCAACGTGAATGGGACTCAACTGCAAGTGGTAGAGAACTTCCCGTACCTGGGCAGCACGCTCTCCCGCAACACCAAGATCGGCGACGAAGTCGCCAACAGGATCTCGAAAGCCAGTCAAGCCTTCGGTCGCCTCCAAAGCACAGTTTGGAATCGTCATGGTCTTCAACTAAGCTCAAAGCTGAAGATGTACAAGGCCGTCATCCTGCCGACGCTACTGTATGGGGCATAGACATGGACGGTGTACATGAGGCAGGCACGTCGACTTAACCACTTCCACCTCAGTTGTCTCCGCCGCATCCTGAGGCTGAACTGGCAGGACCGCATCCCCGACACCGCAGTGCTGGAACGGACGGGAATTCTGAGCATCTACTCCATGTTGAGACAAATGCAGCTGCGCTGAAGCGGCCATCTGGTGCGCATGGACGACGAGCGACTACCCAAACGACTCTTCTACGGAGACGTCGCGACGGGTTCTCGTCGTCAAGGAGGCCAAATTCGCCGTTACAAAGATACTCTGAAGTCCTCCCTGAAGCGCCTGCACATCAACCCGACCGACTGGGAAGAGCTCGCCCGCGATCGTCCGACATGGAGGAGAACAGTGAAGACGGGCGCTGCTATCTACGAAGCCAACCGCATCGCCGCCGCCAAAGTGAAACGCGAAGTCCGCAAATCACAAATTCGCCCAATACGCAACGCCGCCGCACAACCTCTCCCTACGTGTCCTCGATGTCAACGGACATTCCGGGCACGAATCGGACTTGTTGGACATCTTCGAACCAACTGCACCTCTCGAACTGCTCCAGCCATCGTCCCCGCGCCCGCCTCTTCCTTGTCCTCTCTTCCGCCAACTAACTCTGACACTCCTTCTGCACCACCACTTCCATCCTCCTCCTTCTCCTCCACTGCCCCAGCGGTGGCCGTTCAGGCTGCCGTCTCACACATCGCCAACCACAACACAGCAACCGCAACCACCCCCACCTGCCCTCACTGCGACCGCACCTTCACCTCACACAACGGCCTGGTCGGTCACTTGCGAATCCATCGCACAGAGACTGGTGAACCAGTGCCTGGAGCACCAACCTACACACATTGCACTCGCCTCCACTGCCCACAATGCCCTCGCACCTTCCGGCATCGCATGCGCCTATTCGGCCCCATACGCATCCACGAGAGCGAATTGACCGCAGCCTTGACACACCCACCCTGCCGAGCCCCACTCCCAATCCATCACCTTGTGCACCCACTAACCACTCCCCAGCCGACATCGACGCCACCGACCTTACCACCCCTCACTCCCCCGCTTCCTCCTCCACCTCCTCCTTCACTGCTACAACGACGGCCACTCCGGCGTCTGTAGCGCACGACTTCACCACAGCCGCACCTGACACAACAACAGGCACAACCCCTGCAACCTTCATCAACAGATGTGAGGGCCCGGACTACATCTGCCCTCACTGCGATCGCACCTTCACTTCACGCATCGGCCTGGTCGGTCACTTGCGAATCCATCGCACAGAGTCTGGCGAACCAGTGCCTGGAGCACCAACCTACACTCACCGCACTCGCCTCCACTGCTCACACTGCCCTCGCACCTTCACGCATCGCATGGGTCTATTCGGCCACATGCGCATCCACGAGAGAGGCATTGACCGCAATTCCGATACAGCCACGACATCTAACACGCCCAGACCCATCCTCGCCCCACCGTCACACGCGCCGACCACCACCACCGCCACCACCAACACCTCTGCTTCCTCTACAGCTGACACCGACACCGCCGACCTCTCATGCCCACATTGTCCACGCGCCTTCACCTCACGCATCGGCCTAGTCGGTCACTTGCGAATCCATCGCACAGAGACTGGCGAACCAGTGCCTGGAGCACCAACCTACACCCACCGCACTCGCCTCCACTGCCCACACTGCCCTCGCACCTTCACGCATCGCATGGGTCTATTCGGCCACATGCGCATCCACAACGACCTGCGGTAGACAACCGCCGGTCACACCACACATTTCCTTACTCTACCTCCTAACATCATCACCCCACTAGACGTCAGCCCTCACACACCTCATGCACTCAACTGCCGCCTCCCACGCAAGTGGGAAGTGTGCATCTCGACTCGGTCCCCATGCGGCCTCGGCTGCACGAGTGACTTGAGTCCGAGACTATCCCGGCACGTCAAGTGTCGTGGATAGGAAGGTTGCTGATTGACGCCCGTTCTCGGTTCACGCAGTTCGTCACGTTGTGTGTGTGTGTTGTGTAGAGGCGGACTGGTGGGCTGGGGACGGGCTGAAGCAGCACCTTTTACGACCCTCTCGCGCATGTGAGAGACACGTCGTTCAACCCCCTGTTGTGTGAAATCCTGGTGTTTGTGTGTATGGGGGGCCAGGTCGTGCTGTGGCGCGCGCAGGCATGGTCAGTCGACCATGTCAGCCACCGCGCCCATTCCCCACTCCAGTCTGCTGACCGGCTCGGACAGCGGCTGAGGTGTGGTAGTGGGAAGGGGGAGTGAGGTCGACGACTCAGCGCACTTTCTCCTCACTATAAACAATCTGACGCGCTTGAAGCTATCACGGTGCGCTAAAAGCCGTGGCTTGGAAGGTTGCCAACTGACGGGGTACCTTGGACCTCCTCCATTACTGGAGGCGGTCTGAGAGTCATGCTGCAATGGCTCCTTTTTAATGTGGCCTTTATGGCGTTCCCATCACAGTGTGGGATCCGAGCCAGGCGTTGGCGGCACGCCCAGGTGCGGCTTCGGCCGTGCCAGCCTCCAAATCTATGTTGTGTTGGTTCAAATCCTGGTTATTGTTGTGTGGACCAGGGGGTGTGGTGGAACGCCAAGGTGAGGATCCGTCCGAGCCATCCACCTGCGGCCTCCCTCGTCTCCGGTCTTCTTGACTCTGTCTTGACACCGGGCCCAGGCGGGGGAGGAGGAGAGAGTGTAGGTAGATGCTACGCAAGTCTACTGGCACTATAAACCCCTGCGTAAGTCACCGTCCCTGCTCCCACCGCTGCTGCAGCTGCGAGGCACACGGTGGACATCGTCGAAATCGACGGTCGAACTGTCATGGGATGTGTTAAATAAAGCATTTGCGGATGAAGTCCAACAGAGCACGCAACCCCAAAAACCGAAATTTATGCCAGAAAAGCAAAGAAATATGGTAATCAGGGTAAAAATGCGATTGCAAAATGACCTTTCAAGAATGGCATTGCCAACTCACTATAGTAAACATCGACCGTTTGCCGTTATGTAGGTAAAGTGATAAGCACAGCTTATCCCAATATTTAACCGGGTAACGTTTCTGGACGCACCACTGGAAGCCCAAAGTCATTAAAAGGGAAAAGTTTGGCGAGTTGCACGGCACTTTCAAAATCAGTGACTATATACTGACTACTTACCTAACTATACCAAATAACTACTTAAATAACTATACTAACAAGCAAACTAACTGACTATACCAACTAACTAAAGTTTGGGTGAGTTGCATGAAATTTAAAAGGCGGGTAACTGAGTATAGATCTAAACTACAAGTAAGAATTCTTACTTGACCAAATTTCTTGATTGACCGACCTTCTTAATGACATCCTCCGGATATCTCCGTGACTGAAAGTATCACCGAAGCATAATTTCGCAAAGTTTAAACTCAAGAATAGTCTCAGAAGCCGTCGCAGTTCGCGTGAAAATGTTCGGCCAATCCGTCTGCAGCACTCTGGAACCGTGTGCGTATAGCCTTCTTTAATCACTCGCATCTCTGTGACACCGAATACGATATATCTTGCTATTACAGTTAAGCCCAACAAGCCGTCCATTTGACGAAAATAGTTTCCTTTGTTAACCTTTCCATTTTCCAGCAGGTATCGAGTATTATCCATTCTTCCTAAATGCCTGTTGCACTGAATCAGTTTCTTCTGTTAAATGATAAATATTTATCTAGTTAATGTTTTTGGCAGACTTGAATAATTAATTTCCCTCAGTTGTGATTCCATATGCCGCCGTAGGCTCGGCGGGTAACCTGACCCAAGTGTAATTAAACTCACGGCTTCCGGTAGGGCCTAGTAGTTCAGGTGGTTAGGGCGATGGCTGTAATTAAGTCCTTTCCTTACTGTCGTAAGTTCGAGTCTCACCGATGTCGCCGAGGTTTTCATAACTGGATCAAGTGAAATACTTCTTTCTTTACCCTTTCTGTGGACCTGAAGTCCAGCTCGGAGATCTATAATATTTGCCTTCGGTCACTATATGGGACTGAGATTCAGCCTTGAACCCTTTCAGAGACAGCGGTGAGGATGCGGCGCAAATTTGACATTGGTGTGCAGTTTTTTCTCTGGTGGATGACTCGGTGCCTCTTATTTTTAGGCTTACGATGGGGCTTGTTAAACACTTACAGAACCCTGCCCTCCCGCCAACTGCACAGTTGCTTGAGAATGCTAGTCAAGTTTGACTTTAACCATTTTAAGTCCGACTTTCGCCAATTGGACTCTCATTTGACAAACGTTGATGATGTTTTCATCGAAAAGTCCAAACTGGAAGACACAATGAGGGAATTACAAGTACCTAAATGCAACGAATATCTTAAAAGGTCTTTCTGGAAACGATTTCTCGAAGTGTCTTGGTCCCACAGAAAGCAAAATGTCATTGATTCATTAGTTATGTTTATTCTGGGATCACCACGACAACATTCCCACCACACACTGTTATCTCTCCTCAAAATATTGGGGCAGAGCGGCCGTTTTTCTGAATTCGAATCACTTTACTTCAGTCTTCGTAGTGAACTTTCCCCCGAGGAGGCTGTCGTTTTCTCTGCAGATATTGCCTTCTGTCTTAGCCTTACTCCGTTATACAAAGAGTCCTTCTTTTACCTTGATCTCGCCGTAAAGAACGGGTTGCCACTCGGACAGTTTCTTTGCATCCTGGTGGCGGCTGCGAAGTATGCGCCTTACGACGAAGTCTTTGAGACGATTGACTTATTTCACACTCACGGCCTTCAACCGTCTGATGATTTTTACCTAACTTTTGTGAACCGTGTTGATTTTGATCAATCCAGCTCCGCTATGTACTGTATGGAGCGTTTACTGAACAAGTTAGGGGTTCATGAGTGGATAGTTTCCTCCTCCGTCATTACTAAAATAAAGACTTTTTTTGAGAGGTAATCCCCCTGAGTATCTTCACACAGTTGTAGGCGCGGTTGGACAGGGACTCTTGGTGTCAAGGCCATGGGGTTACTTCCCGTCGCGTTCGTATTTTTTTAGATTAACTTGTGGCAGTTGTCATGTTGGTTTGGAAAAATACCGTATATCCGATAGTGACATTTGTTCGCTTGCGGAGGGATTCTTTAACTCTGTTGTCTTGGTAAGTACTCACTAATACACGAATTTCGGTAGGGTAAAAATTCTGATGAACTCTACCTCACTACAACACCTGAGGAACTGGCATCTCTCAAAAATTTCATCCAGGGTGCTGACCGAAAATTCGATTGTGTGATTGACCTTCCCAACTTTTTTCACACGGCACTATCACCGAGGAAAATATCGTCGCTTCCGGAGGAAACCCTCTCAAATGCTCTCTGCAGCGTGCGTTCCCCCTTAAAAAACACGTTCTTCCTTATTTTGCGTTCTATGTAACTTGAAACAATTAACGGTTTCCATTTCATTCTTTCCACTCTCACAGGCACTTTATCGACTCCATGAGGAGCATCATCTCCACCACTTTTGTCTTGTTGGGAAGCAACGCGGTCTTGTTAACAATAAGAAATTCTGGAAAACTATCCGACAGCTAGGTGATCGAACAGGCATAACGGTTCGCAGCTTTGTTACATCACACAAGTAAGGCTTGTTTGAAGCTTTTGTATCAAATCCCATCGTTATAAGTCGGTTCTGAAGTCCTTTATGTGTTCTCCATCCTTCTCATTTATAGAAGCAATGACGATGCTTTTATGATTTACTTGGCCCTCTGGTCCGGCCCTTCCTGTTATATCATTTCCAATGATGAATTTCGTCAACACCGGTGCACTCTCGGTCCTAAATTGGGCGAACAGTTGTCTAAGTGGCAAAACGCGAGACAAATAAGTTTGCATCCGGGTCAACCGACTTCATTATACGTAAGCCTTCCTTATGAGCCATATGTTCGTACGTCTTTGCTCTAAGTGTACGACAGGATACTGGTGATAGTGCCGACTTTCAGACTCAAGAGGTACTAGCCCCGTTTCTTCCAATCGTCAGGTGACATTAGCAATTTCTTATTTAGATTGTTACCAATGAACTGATGCCGATCAGACTACCTTTTCGGAAGTTTGCAACAGCACTTTTATTAAGAGCATTTAGCCTCTATGAGACAGTTTTCAGAAAGCACACACTGTCCTTTTCCCCTGAGATCTAAAATGTTTCTAGTATTATTGCCGACAGGCTGCCGCTGAGGGCAGTGCAACATACTGGACAGACTTTATTTATTTATTGATCGCTTAGCCTGAATATGTGGCTGTTGCTGTCAGTCGAGATGAATGTTGACCTTTTCCCGGCCGATATGCCCACTGTCAGTGTGTTGGAAACAACAACTGTTGTGGTCGGGTTGAGTTAAACTCGCGTTTTGGGATTCGCCATCACGTTTCAACCTTCATTTAGTGAATTAGCCTTCAAGGTCATGGCGGGCCTTTTTTCCGGGTGGTAGTGATGTTGATTAGTTACCTGTGGGATACCGTTTACGATCAGAATTTCTAACTTCGTTTACTTCGATCTGCGTATCCGTTAGTAGGACTTTGTACTCGTCGCTCTCTGCTTGATCTGTAATGTTCCTGGTCTTTTTAACTCTCCTCCCTTACAGAAGCCTATGGAGTGCGCTGCTCGCGTACAAGGTAACGCGTCTTCCGGCTGGCATATCCCGTACAACTCTACCGAAAAACGACACTCCTATAGCGCCGTTCACGCCTGGCTTTGTTTGCTACCGCCTGCATCTCCCCCTCAGACTGCCTCTGAATAGTCTTCTACGCGTTTTTCGGCTAAAAGTAACCAAAGTAATTTCCTTGCAGACGTCTTCTATATTGGTCTTCTAAAGCCGTCTTCAAAACCTGATGCGTGTTTGTACAGATTATACGGCGCTTTTTCTCCGTCACGCAACTAAGACCTGCCGCCATGGGGAACCTAGGTGACGAATGTTATCGCTTACTGCTCTGCCGGTTTTATACCTTGTTAAGTGTACTTGGTTTTCGTGTTTTCGGTTAAGATGCCTTTGGAGTACATGAGTTATTTGATTAAACAGGCTTCTGTATGTGGTGATTATTTGTGCTTTAGCATAGGGGTGTCTTCTTGATTTCTTTATTAGACTGTAGTACAACTAATAAGTCCATTTTTATCGTTATCGGAAAATCACTGAACAACCCATGCGTCTCAAGATGTTGTGGACATTTTATCCTTTTCGCCTTTGAAACAGTAATGTCAATCTCCTAAGCAGTTTGGTAATTATACTTCTGCTGAAGACCAAATGAAGGGCTATTTTGAACTCTCCTTGCGTTAATTCAATGGTGTTTATTTCCTGCTCTACATTTCTCTCTGGAAATTTTTTAAAATCTAAAGTCTTTACTAAAAGCGCGCAGGAGCGCTCATACCTGTCGGAAATGCCTTTTGTCTGGGTAAAGTCACTTTTGAATTTTTCGCCCTCATGGAACTCGCTATTCCATGGGCAATGAGCTTGTCTAAAAAGTGCTATACTCTCAAAATCGAACTGTGATTAAGGTTTAAATATTCTCAGAGGTTTCTCAGCCTTTTTAATCCAATTTTATTTTCCTCTTTTCTCCTCTAGCAACGTCTCGACTCTTGAGTGACACCTGATGCCGGTGAACAGATTCCTTCCTTTTGGAATATATTCTCACGCACTATATAACTTTTGGCAGTCTATCTGACGCCGAGCTAGTGTTAATTCTTCTCACTACGGCTTAGCCGGCGGTCATTTTGTTCAGTAGCCTGGTCTCGATCGCTCGTGTTTCTTTTTTACAATTTCCTGCGAATATGGGCATTGAGTATGTGACGGCCGATTTCGAAGGGAATAGAAACCTGCACGTGTAGGGAAAGGTTTAAACTAGAATCTCCTAGTTCACCTGGTCACATCCAGTTATTTTCAGTAAATCTCGGGGTTAGCATACGATGAGAATAGACTAAGGGTAATTGAAGTTGCATGGCCTTTTTCTGGCATCCTACCGAACTTCATCTCCTCTTTCTCGACTTGCTAGTCCTCCTCAAACTTAGTAGCTGGAAAGTTATGGCCACGGCGGTCTTTCATAACTCATTGACACCACAGCCTAATCTGAAGATCGTCCGGGGGGGGGGGCCTGAATGTGCATCTGCCGTATCTTTTGGTTACTTGTCCACTCTCCCCCCCACCCCCTTCTAGAGCCTTGCGTCCAAACGGTATGGAAGTGGAGTGGCTTTCGGAAAACTAAAAAATGACACTGATTGGGCAAACTTGTCTAGTGTGGCGGCTCAGAAATGGTCGTCGGGGCATAAAGTCCTGGATAAATTGCGTCCGAGAACCAATTTCATGTTACTTACCAAGTGTAACGGGAGATAAAATTGAAGTAGTATTTACTACAGGTTAATCATTCCGAATGTGTGAGACTTAGAATAAGTACGGGAGAACTGTCGGTTCCCTCATTTTCAGTCACCAGTTTAAAGACCGCCCTATCAAAAGTTTGCCGGCAGCACTTATCAGTCTGCTCTAAATCAGACGAACCAAATCAGCCGCTGAAATATTTCGATTGCTCCATCTCGTTATATTGCTGTTGCAAATCGAGCAGTCGTGTTGAAGAAGACAAAGATGGCTGAAATGTCCATTTATGATTCACACCATGGTCAGACAGGCATACTCAGTCTCCAGACCGGATAGCTAGTTTTGAAATCTCATGGCCCACCGGTGACACAGTGCTATTAACAGCTGAGACCGCACTTAGGCGTAGTGCCTGTCCGGCATGGAATTCGGATACGGCTGGCAGATTGACCGCTCCAGTACAGGGCAATGTTTCCAAAGTATTGGTCGGACATCGTAACGCGCCTGTCTGTTGGGGATCTAGATCGGAGATCCAAGACTGAGAGACGGTTTCTATTCCGTCCTGCGACCAGGATAGATTCAGTGGACACCACTTTCATAGAACTACCACACATGCCCTCTTATCGCCTTACTTTCACACAACTCCCGGATGAATCACCATATTAGATGACAGTTCGACCGTCGTTTCCGAGGATGTCTACGCTGTGCTCCACAACTGGGCGGGAGCAGTAACGGCGACTTGCGCGTGAATCCGTTCGTAGTGAGAGTAGGCTTATGCGTCATCTACCGCACGTTCTCCTCCTCTACACCTCGCCTCAGTGTCATGACAGTCAAGAAGACCAGAGGGGGCTCAGCTGGCTGGCACGAGGAAAACCTGTACCTCGGCGAGTCTCACCACATTGGCTCGGACCAACTGAGTGGGGGTGTCACAGAGTCCACACTAGGAAGCCATTGCAGTCTGACTCTCAGTCTACCAGTCCTCCACTTCACACAAGCACTGACCAGTCGCGAGGTCCGAGTTATTCCGTCAGCAGCCTTCCAAGCAACGGACTTTAACACACTGTGATAGCTTTAAGCGTGTCACATTGCTTATAGTGAGGAATAATGCCCCTCGCTCATATGCACGCACTAGGATTTCACATAAAACGAGGGAAACTGCTCGGATCTCACATGTTGCAGAGATGCTACGGGTAGAGGGCGGCTGAAGAGCACACCTCCCGCCTATGTGATAGGTACCGGGAAGATGGAATGTTGGAGGGGCTCATGCGTGGCCCTTGTGTTGATGGGGGAATGTATGGTGATGTGGTTACGTCTGCGGCGACTTACCACAGGTTTTCATGGCGGTGCATGGGACCGAATTGTCCCGTGAGACGACTGAATGAGCCAAGGCAGTGCGGGCAGGTGGGGCAATGGCGTCTAGTGTATTTTGGTGCTCTAGGCACTGGTTCGCCAGTCTGTGTAGTGGGTCCGCAATTGACCGACCGGGACGATTTGTGATGGAAGTGTGGGCAGAATGGATTGGGAGGCGGTAAGTCGTTTACCGTTGTGGCACTGCTAGCGATGGCCGTGCTGATCGATGGGGAGTTTGTTGGGCTGGGAATAGGAGTTGGTGGGTGTGGTAGGTGTGTCGATGTTTTGATGAATTCAGCTTTTCTGGATACGCTCATGACCGAATATGCCGGCGCGGTGTATGAATGTGCATGGACAGTGGGCAGTGAAGGCGGATGCGGTGAGTGTATGTTATTGCTCCTGGAAATGGTGCGTTGATAGCAGCACGGAGGATTTGCAAGCGACCGACCAGGCAGATGCGTAATTTGGATATGTGATCGCAATAGAGAAAGGTTTGAAAATAATCCACATCGCCGGAGATTGGGTGGCGATTGGCGGGTGTCGGGATTGTCCTGACCGGTGGCGGGAGTGGAAGGGTTAGTGGTAATGATTGTGGAAGGGATGATGATAGCGGTTATCGACGGCGGCGGGGCACCGGGATTGTAATCACTGCCGTTGAGGGTGTTTGTTGCCACGGAGATTAGAGCAGCGGCGGTTGGAATTGCCCGGTTGTCGGTGCACCGGGTCCGGAGACGTCCAACAAGGCCGATCCGTGCGTGGGATTTTCGCTGACAGCGCGACCATGCTGGGAGTGTTTGAATGTTGTCACCGAGGATCAGGAGCACCTGAGGCTTGCGAGGTTCTCATTCTGGTTGGCTTCATATACTGCTGCTATAGTCTTCACTGCTCTTGTTCAGACCAATCGGTTCTGTGAGAGGTCTTCCTAGGTCTCCATGGTGATCTGTAATCGCTTCAAAGAGTTCTTCAGGGTGTCACTTTAGCTGCGAGTTCGACCGTGATGACACCTCCATAGAAGAGTCGTGTGGATAGTCGCTCATCGTCCATCCCTACGAGGCGGCCGTTCCCCCGTCGTTGCAGTTGCCTAAGCATGGCGTGGATGCACAGAACTTCGGTCCGTTGCAAAACTTCTATGTCGGGAATCGTGACCTGCCACTTCGGCTTTAGTATCTGCTGGAAACAGCTGCGGGGTAAGTGATCGAGTCTACCCAGCATACGACAGCCTCATCAAGATGACAACTTTGTACATCTTGATTTTAATGTTGAGATGGAGCTCGTGACGATTCCATTCCGAGTTCTGTGGCCAGTCGAAGACTTGGTTGAGTATGGAGGTCCAGTAGGCCATTTCGTCGTCCATTTTGATGCATCATGAGAGTTTGCTGCCTAAGTAGGAGAAATTGTTCGTGGTTTCCATGTGGGTGTGTGGCAGTCCGCTCTTCCTTTCGCTTCGCCGCTTTGTCTAGCTGCCATTCTGTCCCCATCACGCTCCCTGTCGATTCGCTGCCGGGACCACTCGAGGCTTGTCACTAACCTCTCGAGACCAATCAACGTTGCCCTTTTTACAATTGGCCGGCGGACGCTAAATTGGACAGAGCGGAGGGCTGACACACGCGCTGGGGCCTAATAATCTCAAGGGGGGGGGGCACAGGCGATGCATAATGTGCCTGGTGAGAAGGCCTGCGGCAATTGCTTGCAGGGCTCCTACCACGCCCTTACACGTCAGTAAAGTTGTCACACCAATCCGTCTCCCCTGACTTCTAGTTTTGAAATCTTTGTCTTGTCGACCATTGCGAACTTTCTAGTCAGCCTCTAATCGCAACAGGTGCCGTTAATGTTAATCAGAGGAACATTGCAAGCAGTGCTGGGTGGTGGTCAATGCATGACCACCCTTCTGTCCGTTTTAATGGTCAGCTCGAAGGTGGTGCAGCTAGAAGCGAATAGGGCCAGACTCCGCTGCATATCTGCTACTGTCGCGGTGTTGGGCGCGCAAGTATCTACGGAGAGTGGGTCATGGATAGACGCGCCGGGGCCTACCTGCACCGGCTATTAAGAAGTTGACCATGGTTCATGTGGGCGACACAGATCCGGGGCGCTCCTCGCAGTAGACGTCTATCAGCATGGGAGAAAACATGAGACTAAAAGGCGTGGGAGCGGATAGGTGGCCCTGTTTCAATTCGTTGACCACTGCGGGTGCTTCTGAGAATGTCCCATTGTCCTTGACGCGCGCCGTCATCCCGTCGCGGAGTTGACGCACCATGCGCGTGAATTGCTCAGGGCTGCAGGATTTCTGCATTATTTTCCGCAAATTATCGCCGTTCATCCCGTCGATGGCTTTCTTCAAGTACATGAAGTTTGTGCAGAGGCGGGTCACAATTTCCTGGCACTTCTGTTGCAGCGGGCGCGCGGCAAAGATCATGTTGGTGGTTCCACGGTGGCGTCAGAAGCCATACTGACCTTCCGGGGAAGGGCTTGCTCGAGATGACCGTTGAGGCGAATCCGAACGCAGATCGGTGAGATGCCTCCGTGAGTATCATAGAGTTTCTGGTTCCCCACCCACTAGTAGAGATGGACGAATGTCGTATCCTTGGAACCCTGAGGAACTTGTCCTTTGGGTCACATCTAGAATAGCGTTGTGAGGTGATCCATCAGCTGGGGGCCGTCGTGCTTGTAGACTTCGGACGGAATCGCTCAGATCCCCTGGTTTTCCCCGCTGGACAGCTGATGCACTGTTCAAATGGTTTTGGGGAGAGAAGGCGGGAGATCTAGGTTGTTGTTCTTCTCCGATTGGGGTACTTGGTCAATGGCGACGCTGAAGGTTCTAGGGGAGCGATTGAGAACGCTTCAGAACCTACGATTTCTCTGTCAAAAGTCTTGTTCAGTCGGAGTTGAGAAGGGACGCAGTTCCTTTTATTGGGAGGCCGTAGATCGCC